GCATTTTTTCATGCTATTTCCTCTTTTAAATTTAGGAATATGACTATCTGTAAAAATAAATATGCAGTAAATGATGGTAATAAATTATGATCACAGTGTGTTGACACAGCATAAAGGAAGCCCAGAACAATATATTGCCCATTTTAGGTACATAATAAATATTTGTGGAATTTTAATATAAGACGAATTTAATACCAAACCAAACTCACTGCCAGTGAGTCGATTCTGACTCACAGAGACCACCTTTGGATTTCTGAGGTGGTAAATCTTTATAGAGATAGATTGTCCCATCCTCCTTCCACAGAGCAGCTAGTGAGTTTGAACTGCCAACTTTATGGTTAGCAGTCAAATATCTTAGACATCATACCACCAGAGCTTCTTAAAAGGAATTTAATAGCTCCTAAAATAGCTCTGCTCCTCTTGTTTATACTTATAGAATCTAGGTCAGTGGCTATACCAAGAGGAGTAATTTGGTGTATGTGGGGAGCACTTTACTTAGCTCCCCAATAGCCATCATCCGCCACCTAGAACTATTCCAGATGCAATGCCGTCTAAGTAAAATACTGTACCTGCTATAGAAACTTAGCTTCAAGACAAGTCCCGAGACTACTGTCCAGAAGCTTCTAACTCTGACAGTCCAGACATAACACTGGTTGTAATATCCGTGTGTCGATCTCTTCACAATAACCATCATTCTGTCTTTTAAGATTTTTGTAGTTTGGACATAAGGACAGGGAGGTAGGGAGCCCACACACAAAAAGACAATATAAAACAAATCATCTTGCACAAGGATATTTGTGCAAAAGTGCTAGACTTTTGGCCTGCCTTGTGTCATCTTCACCAAACTTTATCACTGTTCTAGGCCTCAATTTCTCCACCTGTGAAATGACTGACGATCTTGAAAGGTATGGTCTCTGAAGTCTTTAAGAGCTTGGATTCCTGCTTTAATTAGGTATCTAAATCTGGATTGCTTATCATGCCTGGCCACTGACCCTATCTCTCTGCATCCCTTTTTTATTACCTATACTGTTTCGGTAGAAAGTAAAAAAACCCTCAGAGAGCAGGACCAGTATGGAGAATGTTCCTGGATGCCAGGAGTCTTCCCCCTCAACCCACACCCCCATCCAAAATCTGTCCGGGGTGGAGACAGTGTGCAAAGCTGGACACCTACTGGAAGCAGCTGGGTGACCATACAGAGCAAACCACCTCGCCTATGTGAAGCTTTGCCTCACTTCCTTCCTGCCTTTACTCATGCTCACAGAAGAAACAAAAGAAAATATTGCAAAGGAAATTTCTTGGCTATTTTTCTCTTCACAAAAGTGACTTTTCGGGAGAAAGGGAAAAGACTGCAAAACAAGCAAACAAAGGGCACGGAACAGTCACACTAGGACCCCCACTTATGTTCGGAAACGCCAGCTCTTTATTAGCCGCACCCGGGCTTCTGGTGCTGTGGCCGCTTCGCGGTGGGGTGGCAGCTGGCGCGGAGCAGAAAGCCTGGCCCTGGCCAAGCCCAGGGGGAGGAGGCGGCCGGGTCGCTGCCCCACAACCCATGATGGAGGTGGGGGCGCCCAGCAACTTGGCCCACGGGAAAGCAAGCCTGGGGTCAGCATCCTGCCAGCTCTCATAAGTGGATCTAATTATGACCGCTTACTTCAAAAAGAGGATTTAATCCAAAGCAGATTTACCAGGGCAGTCTCCAAAGGGCAGCAGGAATCCAGGCATGACCTTTGAGAAAATCCTAAAGGCATCACTGCACCGGGAACCTGTGAGACAGTCACAGTGGACGCTTCAGATCACAGTTCAATGCAGAGACGCCAACTTAAGTTATCAGGTCCTAGTGAGTTTAATTTAGCATGACTATTAGCGTCTGTCAGGGTGTGCCCAAGAGGTGTGCACTGGTGGTTACTGAAAGAATTGAGGGGAGAAAGGAAATGTCGACAGTAAAAAAGAAAACAAACAACAACAACAACAAAAAAAAACACAACAGCCCTAAAATATAACCTGTTCAGTAAAAAATATTGTTAAAACCTTAAAGTTGTTTCATATTTGAGAGTCAAAAGTCTCTCAGTGAATTCTTATCTAAAATATCAAAGTTTGGTGGCATATCTCAGTGCTGATGAAATTATCATATATATCTTAAGATAATTTTTAACATTTACTTTGTTTTTGAAAATCTTTTATATAATGTTTTGCTCAGGAGGGGTTTTGTTTGTTTTAATAAAATTAAACAATTCCAAAAAAGGGCCTGGGGATTAGAATCTCTCATCTAGAGTTGATCAACATGAAGTCAGTAAATAAACACATCTGGGACAGACTTATTGTATAATGGGTATAAAAAGTACTTTTTGGTGGCGTAGTGCCTGAGGCATTTGACTGCTAACCAGAAGGCTGGCGGTTCAAATCCACCAGCCACTCCTCAGAAAGAAGATTGAGCAATCTACTTCCATAGTGATAATGCCTCAGAAACCCAAGGAGGGGTCGCTATGAATCGGGATCTGACTAGACGGCAGTGAGTTTGGTTTTCGGTTTTGGCATCATGTTTCAATGCTATCACTGTCACAAAATACAAAAATTAGGGGAAGAAAAAGAACCAGCCTGGATAATTACTCTCTTCATCTGCTATCTCTAGTAACACTAACTGTTCTGTAACTAAACTGGTGCCCCCTCAGGCATTTAGCTTAGGTAGGAAATTGTAGAAAAGATAGCTAAATATAGTTCTAAAACAAATAATTTGTGAAGTGTCAGAGAGGAATTAATTCACATAGGTGCTCTTTAAAATTATTTGCTATCAGGTATTTTTAAAAGTCAGTATCAAACAAGTTGCTCCTCTTTTACCTGACCACATTCAAACACAGGACACCTAAACAGATGGCTACTGTGGATATATGTAATTTATATTGTCATTAGAACCTTGGTTGCAATAAGTGTATCTTGAGATTGGAAAACTCACAAACATTGAGAAGATGGAGTTTCTTCTCACTGTTTGATCACCCAGAATTTTCACATCAGGTCATCTATTTGTTCTAACATGAAGCTGGTAAATTTTAGCTTTTAAGAGAAGAAAAGCTTAAAGAAATCATAAATTGGAGGTAGGTTACATTATACTCCATCCAAGGTGTAATACTGTTCTGTTTTCAATTTCTCCTTCCCCAAAAGTTGTATAAAGTCCAGTAATAGGTAAACAAAACATTATTAATAATAAAAAAAAGAATGACACAAACCTGTTCAGCTTCATGCATTTTTTTTACTCTTACTGTGATAGCTTTTTCTGGTAAGTAAACTAATCTGGGAAAACCAGATCTCTTCTTTTATAACTAAATACATAACAAAGCAAGATAGGTGAAGCTGTTCCCTAGTGGCTCTCAATTTGCAAGCCCTAAACACAGAGGCTGTCATGCTTGATAACTCAAAGCATTAGAATTCAATGTCAGCGGTTTCAAAGATTGTGGGATTCACAGACATGCCCATTCAGCCAACGGAAAGGGAAGAAGAGAAAAATCTAAAAAGAAAATGTTGAAAAGATTGTATAGTATGGGAGAGTTCATTACAAAGCTTTTTAATTTGAAGTCTTTGCTTTTAATGTGGCCATCCCTGGTCTGAGAAAACTGCCTATAAGGATAAGTATGAAGACTCCTATACTGAGATTAAATTCATTTTTTTATACTGAATTTTAAAAGTTATGCAACCCTTGGGAAGTTAAGAAGGTAGTTTTAGTCATTAAGGAATTTGTACACAACCAAATATTGAAATTTTTTCCAGGGGCTCTAAGAAGAAATGGGATTCATTGAAAATGATTAAGGTGAAGAATTTGCCTTCCTGAGTAAGTAGATTTTAACCCTCAAGAAAAAAGCAGATTATTTCAAATTTACCAGTTACCAGTTGCTGTCGAGTAGATTCCGACTCATGGCAACCCCCCGTGTTTCAGAGTAAAAAACCATAGGGTTTTCAGTAGTTGAGGTTTTGGAAGTAAAGTGTTAGATCTTTCTTTCAAGACACTTCTGGGTGGATGTGAATTGCCAACCTTTCAGTTAGCAGCTGACCACTTAACTGTGCTACCCAAATCCAAAACCAAACCCACTACCATCAAGTTCCTTCTGACTCTTAGTGACCCTAAGAATGGATATCCAAGGCTGTAAATCTTTATGGAAGCAGACTGCCCCATCTTTCTCTTGCAGAGTGGCTGATGGGTTCAAATCACTGACTTTTTGGTTGGCAGCCAGATGCTTTAACCACAGCACCACTGTAGCTCCTTTGTGCTATCCAAAACCAAAAACAAACTCACTGCCATCGATTCTATTCTGACTCACAGCAACCCCCATTGGGTTTTCAAGGCTGTAAATCTTATGGAAGCAGGCTACCTCATCCTTCTTCTGTGGAACAGCTGGTAGGTTCGAACCACTGACCTTATGGTCAGAAGTCAAATGCCTTAAGCTCTATACCATCAGAACTCCTTTTGTGCTACCCAGGGATTTCTTATTTCAAATACTCACAGCCGTCAAGCTGAACCTGACTCATAGCAACGCTTCCTTGGGTTTCCAAAGTGGTATCGCTATGGAAGTAGATTGCCCGACCTTTCTTCCGTGGACTGGCTGGTGGGTTTGAACTGCCAGTCTTCTGGTTAGCAGTCAAATGCCTTAGGCACTATACTACCAAAGCTCCTCTTATTTCAAATAGAGGGCAATTAATAGAGAGACTTTTCAAATACAGGTGGTTCATTGACCAATTTCCAATATAAAGCTCTAGCTTTATAGTTTTTTGTCTTTCAACATCCTTGTATGAGCTTGGTGCCCTACTTACAAACACCCCAAAGCACATTCATAGTAATAGTTTAGATAAAAGTCAGCCTCACTCTCCATGGTCACAAACAACTCAGAACTCAGAATTAGATCCTGGGTACTTAACTATGATGTCACTGAACCTTAGTGTCACTGACATGAGGGACAGAGGAAAAAGAACTGCAGGCATCCATCCAGATGTACTGGTGCGTGTGGGCACCTTACCTCTCCCGCTCCTGCTCCAGCAGGTTGGTGAAGTCATCACTCTTGTTCATGTAGTCAGTGTGTTTATGCTTCTCGTTCTCTAACTCGTATACAGTGCGCCTGTGACACTTCTCTGCCAGCAGCAGCTGCTCTAGCATGCGCCGGTAGGTTTCTTTCTGTTTTTCCTCAAGTCTGTCCAGCTGAGTAATCAAACATAGAAAAGTGTTTAATATTTTATTTCATTTGCATATTGATAGTTCCCTACATTACTCACAAACCTACTCCCCCTTTCAAACTCTAGGTCAAGGTTTCTTAACCTCAGCATTTTAGACCAGGATTATCTATGTGGTGGAAAGCTGTCCTATGCACTGTAGAATACTGAGTCTGGTATTAGCTGTCATTTCCTCCACTCCATCATTTTCTCCATGCTAAGTGGCTTTATAACCTAGCCATAATTATGCTGCAGTAACTTCTAGGGTTTTTTTCTATGAACGTGCAGAAAAACAAACTGTTCCACTCTATTAATAAGATAGCACAGAGCCCTATACTCAAAAGAAAGAGGATAATAACTCTCCTGATCTCAGAAAAATTAAGATTTCAGCATACACATAAACCAAACTTCTCCCCTGGGCAAGCATTTATCATCCTAACAATCTTTTTTCTTTTTGAGACTTGCAGTTATATGCATTCCTAAAAAAAAAGTGTTTTCTTTTTTCAAGAGATGCTAAATATAATGAAAGAGCATACTTCTCTAAAGACATCTTTAAAAATATTCTTAAAGAGGCTTTTGTGCCTAACTGTCTGGCCAGGCCATAAGATTTTTAAGGGTTCATGTCTTGATTATCTTTTTAGTCCCCAGTGCCTAGTGCAGTGCCTGGCATAAAGCAGATGTTTAGTAAATGTCTATTAAATTGGACAGAAGCTTACAATATTGATTTAAACATAAAAAACCAAAAAACAGTTGCCATCAAGTCAATTTCAACTCATGGCAACCCCCTGTGTTTCAGAGTAGAGCTGTGCTCGATAGTATTCTCCTGGCTGTGATTCTTCAGAAACAGAGCACCAGGCCTTTTTTCCAAGGTACCTCTGAGTGGGTTCAAATTGTCAACCCTTCAGTTAGTAGCCTAGCACTTAACTGTACCAGCCACGGACTCCTACAATATTGATAGTTCTCTACATTACTCACTATCCAACTCTTTCCTTCAAACTCTAATTCAGGGTTTCTTAACTTCAGCACTACTGACATTTTAGCCCAGGTAATTCTTCATGGTGGGGAGCTGTTCTGTACGTTATAGGATATTTAGTAGCATCCCTGTCCTCTAGTCATTAGATGCTAGAAATACTCCCCCAGTTGTGGCAATCAAAACTGCTAGACATTGCCAAATGTTTCAAGGGGGAGAGAATATTGTCCCCTGGTTGAGAACCACTACACTAGTTAAAACAGACATATTTAAAACCCATCCTCAACCCCACAACCTGCTGCCTGAAATCCAACGGGGTGGTTCCACAGGATGTCAGAATCACAGCTGCTCCACCTGGGTTTTCAATATATGCCCTTTAGTTATAAGAAGGATCCATGGTTTCCTCTGTAATTGCATGACATCTTCATTGTGAACAAGTCATTTCTGAGGTCCAAATGAAGAGAGAGACTGCTTCTGCCATCCTTGGTGTCTTCTGCCCAGATCACCACTCTCATTACCTAAGAGTAGGTGACCAGGCACAAACTGGTGGAGAAGCCCAGCTGACAATATTTGAGATCGTCACAGATTTAACAGATTGGGCTTTTATGTCTCTGGATAAATTTCTGTAGTCTTAAAGGGACAGTCAATGCAAAATGTTTTCTCATTCCAATAGCAATACTCCTCATACTATAAAATATTCTTCCACATTTCTTCAAATGTTATTGTTACCATATTTTATATAATTTACTAAGCATTGCTATATATCATCATTATCATCATCAAAAATGTAGAAGGAACAACCTTTTACCCCTTTTGATATTTCCTACTTGCTATAAAGTAGGACTGTTCCTTCTTGTAAAGTATTTGGAACAGTAGCTTCTACCCCTTTTTTCATGCCCTACCCTAACCCTCCCCAAGGAAGGAGAGGTGACTTATCTGATGCTTCTAGTTGGGATAAGGAACTGGACACATACAGCTCAGCTTATGCATTTCTCATGTTTTACTCTCCCTGCCATAGGATGATACATTGTTCTCTGAATAACCAAACTCTCCCACAATTGTGTTTCTCCAAAGTCCAAACCTGGAGGGACAGTAATAGAAAGTTCATTGGTAGTCATTTATCCATCTATAACAATAAATGTTTTCAATCCACCTGTCAGATTCCTGCAGTTATCCCTTAATCCATTCAAGGAACTCTGGAGTGAAAGATAGAGGCATTATTAATTGGATGGTTGTCTGAGAAATCCAAAGAGACAGACACTGCACAGGCATCTGGAGAACAAAACAGCACAGGGAGATATCAAGTCTTTTAGTGCAACCTGAGGTTCCGGGGTGGTGTGAAATGGTTAATGTACTGGTTTGCTAGTTGAAAGGTCCACCTGGAGGCACCTTAGAAGAAAGTCTTGGTAATCTAGTTCTGAAAAAACAGCCATAGAAAACCTTATGGAGCACAGTTCTATTTTGAGACCTGGGGTCACCATGAGTTAAGTCAACTCCATGGCAACTGATTTAACTAGTGCGGTCTAGGCAGGAGGCAGACCTTAGCCTTTAGTAACTTCTGTCTATGTGTGTCTTTGAGATTGGTTATTTGAAGGAGCCCTGGGGCTGGGCCAGTAAAATTGTTTGCTGGAGTCCCTGTAGGCAAAGTTCACCTCATCCACACTAGTACAGCTCAACCCCAATAGTGATTACATCCTCAGAAAACAGCCTTTTCTGTTGATGTGTGTGCAGTGCATTTCTCACCAGAACTGACTGCGGGCCAGACTTTAAGCTGCAGAGGCCTTGGTAGCACAGTGGTTAAGTGCTTGGCTGCTAACCAGAGGGTCAGCAATTTGAACCCACCACCACTGTGTAGGAGAAAGAAGTGGCAGTCTCCTTCCATAAAGATTACAGCTTTGGAAACCCAATGTTGTTGTTGTTATGTGCTGTCAAGTCGGACCTGACTCATAGCGACTATTCCTTGGGTTTCCGAGGCAGTGTCGTTACGGAAATAGATTGTCCAACCTTCCTTCCAAGGAGTGGCTGGTGGGTTTGAACCGCCATCCTTCTGGTTAGCGGTCAAGTGCCTTAGGCACTATGCTACCAGGGCTCCCTATAGGGCAGCTCTATTCTGACCTATTGGGTTGGAATTGACTGGATGGCAACATTTTTTTGTTTTTTCTTTTTTCATAAAGCTTCCCCCCACCACCTCAAAGCACTGGTATGTGAGGATCTAGCATTCAACTTTAAATTTTGGTTATAAGAACTAACACAGGTAGCAACAGATGAACTGTGCCAAATGCTGTTTCTCGGTAAAATATTTTATTTGGAATTGTATCAAGTTCCAAGGAGAGAACTGAGGTAGGGCTATACTTTTGGTTCTATTGGCTTATACAGAGACTCTCAAGACCACCTCTGATAACTACAGTCTCTGAAGATTTATTAATCATGTACACTGTGTCCATGGTTTCTGGTTTTCAGGATCCATGCTATGGACTCAACCATAGAGGAATGGTAGCTTTTATTAATGAATAGTGAAAGTGGAATAGGGCCTCTATTACTCTGGAAATATAGCTTCCACTTGGACCGAGGTGCAAGGAAAATTGAATGACATCATCATAACACCAAAGACCAAAAATTTAAGGAAAGAGCATACCTGGAAGTCTTATTCTAGCAAATCAAATTAGTGGAGAAGGAATGCAAGTACTTGAGATGGAGCTAATTCAGAACGTTTTTAGATAAAAGAGTTTAGATAAAAAGGATAAACATGTTTTAGGTAAAAGAGTTTAGATAAAAAGGATAAACATGTTTTAGGTAACTGACTTATTAAGGACTCAGGAAAAGAGAAATCTACCTAGAGGAGATGAAGTCTTAAAGACCAAATGGATTTTCATGCAGAAGAAGTGGATCTAAGAGCTCTTAAAGATAGGGCTATACAAAAGGCAGGTATTTAGTCATTATTGAATCAGAATGGGAAGTAGAGAAAGAAGAGAAAGGAGAACAGAGCAGTGTCCCCTACAAACAAAGAGGCTGTGGGGTCCAGGAAATAACTGAAGAGTGTGCTGTAAAGCTGCGGATATAGCCCATCAAGAACTCAATTGAGGCCCTTCCCTTAAAGACTTCATTAACTATTCAAAGTGGTTACATAAAATATGGACAGATTTAAGAAATAAAATCTGGCAAGATCAGAATAAGATATTTGAAGTAATATTTAGTGAGTTTTAGTGTGTAAGCTATTATTGCCTGGACCTGAGTGAACATGCTTAAGAAATTAAAAAAAAAACAACAAAAAAACCCACTCACTGCCATTGAGGTGATTTCAACTCATAGCGACCCCTCCTTGGGTTTCTGAGGTTGTATCACTACGGAAGTAGATGGCACAACTTTCCTTGCAAGGAGTGGCTGGTGGGTTTGAACTGACAGTGTTCTGGTTAGCAGTCAAATGCCTTAGGCACTACACCACCAGAGCTCCTGCTTAAGAAACTGGGATATAGAATTCGAAGGAAAGATGAGACACTCAAAAATGGATTCAGGCAACACAACAGTAGATCCTATCCAAATATGAAAATGATGTGATGGGGAAAGACCCCATAATGAGGATTATCTACCTCAGGAACATGAAAGTAGGTGAGATTTGTGTTCAACAAAAGATGTTCTTGACAGATGAAGAGCTCATTGAGTTCTGTTTCTCCCACTGATGGAAATCCCACAATACAGAATATGGAAGCTAATATTGGGAAAACAAACATGTGGATCTGAAAGGATAAGGGAAGTAAAGCAAGCAAACAAACAAATCAAAAAGCTTTACGACCCATAAAACAGTGCTAGAGAAAAAACTGCTACCAGTTTATAAAACAGGTCAAATATAAGAAATTCTCAGTTGAGCCTTCCTAATGCAGAAAAGATTTTGTCAAAAAATAAAATAAATATATGTATAGGGAGCTCTGGTAGCATAGTGGCTAAGGCACTTGACTGCTAACCAGAAGGCTGGCGGTTCAAACCCACCAGCCACTCCTCGGAAGGAAGGTTGGGCAATCCTA